AATTTGAGTTTTTCAATGATTTATTTCTAACAAAAAATGCACTTTTGTTTTAAATAAAATTATCTACCAAAATCCATGCCTTACCTAAGAAAAAAAAAAAAATCTATACTTTATGTCACTGATCACCTTACTTAATCTTGACCCCAATTTTAATGAATTAGACTCGGTGCAATTAGTCATGGTGGTAGACCTTGTTCACGGTATCCAGGTTATGTGAAATTGCATAATCATTGTTTTCGCCAGTGACGTCTAGAGACACGAGTCGCAGAGGACCAAGGTTATAACGTTTCTTATTTAAGAACGGATAAAAAAGATCTATACGGTGATTCATTCAAGCTGTCCTAACCATAAACACACCGGCTATTCGAATTTATTTCTTTTATATCCGGTGTAATCAATTGTACGATTTTTCTTCGTTAAGTTCGCAATTTTAACTCGACGACGCTGAATAAGGGAAGCAAGGGAATATTATGTTAACGTGAATTTTTCCAGTTGAGCGCGATAATAGAAAAAAAGATAAAGTGAAAATGTTGTGTTGAGAATGAGCATAATTTTTCTTTTGTTAATATATCTACATGAACAACTACTCGTTTAAAAAATTATTATATGTATATTTCGGAAAAAATCTTACGTCACGATCTATTTTAATGTCAATAAGAAGAATAAATGAAGGAGAAAGTAATTAATTACTATATATCCTAATTTATGGCATAAATTGTTCTATTTAATTTTCTTATGCACGGCTAACGTAAGTCCTTTAATACGCAAGATTATGTATCTTTATTGCGCAGTTTCATTTTATAAATGCCACGATATAAGACGGGTGCGCCTCGACCCGTGAAGTCATATGGAGACAACCGACTTCGTCGTCGGTCGGATGTTAACCATCGACTGTTCACACTGCGGAACTTCTTCCGGCCCGGTCACGTAGGATATTCCCGTCGCGTTTCACTACGTGCAAACCCTTGGTCATTTCTTTGCGCGGTGCTGCCTGAATGCAGGTGCAATGATAGAGACTATTATTGACCGGAAGTCACGATTGATTTTAATTCTATCGCAGCTTGCACACAGAATAAATGCTCGATGTGCAAAAATGTCTGTTGCAACGTTTAATGTGCGAATAATAAAGCATTTTTGTCTTTTTTCCCAGCTTGCAATATCATATTTATACATTCTGAAACTTTGATACAGTGAGTACAGCCAACGGTATACAACTTGTACCGTGAGTTTGTTCCATTTATCCTACATCAAAGCAAAATTTAGTTCGTTTCAACAAAGTGGAAGCTCGAGGTATATTTGTCTTCTCCCTCTTGCTTGATACATCAGAAATAAATTTATTCTACACAAGAAAATATTATTTCTCTTGTGTAGAATAAATTTATTTCTGATGTATCAAGCAAGAGCGTTTTACATTCCATGCTTTCAATCGGTTTTTTTTTTA